TAGAAAACATTATCATTTTAATGGAAAATTTCGATAAAAAATGAAGCCAAACGAACACCAAACTTTCAACATTTTCCATGAAAAATTATACCAATCAAAACAATTAATTACAATTTCCAATAAAACAATTTTTAGATAAATCAATTCCCTATAAAACATTTTCTTTCCACCTATTTTTCACATTTGCAATCAAACAAACCCTTATAATTTTGAGATTTGAATTGGGTAGAAATCCCACCAAAGTGTTGAGTCACTAGGTTTCAGGTTTAATCGGTGGATCACTATTGCATTGGAGGAAAATGTGACTTGCACTCACCTCCACATAATTATTCACTTCTTATCCATAGACACACAACTTATAATTACTTCATTTTAATTTAATCACTTCTAAGAGATGCCCTTAAACAGGTCACGTAATTTTGATTATTGTAGCTTAATTTAATATATAAATAAATAAATAATCTATTTTGTAAATTTGTCAATTAGGGCTTTATGTAATGTTTGAACTGGACTATATATTGGCATCAGCACACGAAAGCCTAGTTCGTAGCGAGTCTAACCCCAGGACCACGGGGTGACCTAACAAGCCTTTGAAAGCTGGCCATGCCAAGCCCGCAGTTTGGCTTGTGGGTCCTTGCAAACAGTCTTGCATGTCAACCTGCTCAGGTCACGGACCAGACTGGCCCGGTTGGCACACGGCCAAAGTCAATCTATAATTTTTGAAACATCATATATTGAAGATTGGAGAATCATGGATACGGTAATATAGACTCACTGAGCACCGTTCGACCTAAAGACGATGACATGTTGAGCCTTTCTTTGCTTTCTGCTCCCTGGTTCGTATACAGCCAGTGGTTCATAAGCTATCACTTGGAACAAATCGAAGCTACAGTATTCCCTCTATTTGATATCCTACAAATGGCTGTGGGAAAGTTCTCATATTCAAGATTCAAAGTTATTCCTTCCACCACTATACTGGTAAGAGGTAAAGAAGGTCTAATTCGACTGAACCAAACAAAGCCCTGTCTTGTGCATAGTTCAAACAAAAGCCAAATTTTGCCTTCAAGTTGAAAGACTGTAAGAACACATAAATTAACACAGGTTACAACACTTGTCTCAACTAGTTTAAGGTAAATAACTTGAATGTCAACTTCTTCCTCCTTCACCACAGGATACTTTGATGCCTACATAGCTGACTTAACTTGCAAATAAGCATTTACGTAATTCTTATCTTAAGAAAATAAAAAAAATCTCCCCGGCTGTATATGTTAGCAGTCATTTCTCCCTAATAATATATAGAAGAAAACTAAACAAACAAATTCAAAGTGATATTAATCAAATCAACAGCTGAAGAAAAATGGGATTTCAAGGAACTATCAAGATTGATGTGCACTTGACCATATATTAACTCACACAGTCACAGGAAGCATTCTATATTTCAATTCACCTGATTTACACGCACCGTTTTTTACTCAAAATTACCCACCCACTTCCAGCATACATTGGCATTACGATAGTGAACAATTGTTGGAATGGGTATAGTTCTCTTTGCTCAATAGGTGAACCCATGTTCCTTCTTTTCATCCAAATCGCTTTCTGCAGTATAAAGGGTAAAAATGAGTTTACCTGTGAAGATTAAAACCTCATGTCTTCCAAAGCAACAGATTTTAAGGTCTCTGTCGTATTCTAAAAACACAGAATACATACTCAGTTTATCTGAACTTCATGCTGCATCATTCTTCATGTGGTTCTGTACGATTTTCTTGCCTTGGAGGTTCTGTGTAAACTTGTCCATGCTCTCTAAAGTCTCTAAACATTGACAGAAATGAGTTGAGACTTTCTGAAGAAGCTCCCCCCAGGATCCATAGTAACAGGGAACTAAATGAGTTCATAGCCCCGGGATTGCCTCCACCCTCTGGCTGACGGAGGGCAGGCTGTCCCCCAATTTCAAGAGGATTCCCTAACCTCTCTGGATTGTCGTTATTAGGTGGTTCTTGAGGACCAGGGAATGCAGTTGCACCATTTCTTGGCATTCCTGTATTGGTTCCGGTTTGAAGTACAGGTCCAGAAGCCAAATCTGTGTTAAGAAGCCCAGTGTTTCTCGTATTTAATCTTGTAATGTGTAATGTTGAGGCGAGAATAGTTGATGAGGTAATATGAAAGTCGGGATGTTGCGGAAAATGTGACCGTCGACTTTGCATAAACCTCTGCAGAGCTGGAACCTGAGATGACAGCAGGCATACAAGTGATGTACAATGTTTCTCTATACGTACATGTAATTACCCACATTATGCATGGAATGTATCTCACTCCATCTCTATTATTACATAAACTAACAAGTAATGGCATTCTCAGCTATTCCACATCATTCTCTTTTCCCCATTTCCACATAGAAATCAGTGACGTGTATCTGGTTTGCTCCACTTCAGGGAACAGGCACATCTCAAATCTAGTGTCAAGTGTAGGCAACTTTGGATTATAACATTATACTCTCTGGATGTTTGGAAACTTCGAATAGTTTAAATGATAACTTGAAAAATTATAGGGTTGCCCACAAGAAGGGATTTATCTCGCATCATTCAATTTAGGGATTTACTTCCTATTTTAATAGATTCCTCGTAAAGATAAAAAAATGCTATGAAAATTACAAAGAGGGGGTTGAAATAGCTACATTTTAATCTACGAGCAGTCCTCTAAAACTTAGTAAGTGCATGAAGAGGACATTGTTAGAAACAAAAGTAACAGAAGTACAATAGTTAGTTTCACAATGTTTGTATTGAAATCTGAAATGCATTTCTAAGCATCATGGACTCCCTCAAGAAGGCTGCCTACAATAGAGATCTTCAGTCTTTTTCATACAAGTCTCATAGTATTACAACCACAATAAATTGCTCATAAAATTCTCAGAAACTTCAATAATATTAGATTTTAATGAGGCTCTACTATGCTGCATTCAAGCATGGAAGTTAATATAAAAATAAACAAATTCTTACATTATTATAAATCTATCATTTTTTTTATTAAATAACTTGTACCATTTCAATAATTTATTCAAGAATTGTTGTTTAATGTGACCCTGACCAGTGTAATTAACTAAGAACATATCCATAAAGTTTACTTGTACACCATGACACTCATTTGACTATCAACAATTCCTCATAGGGTCGAATCTCATGCCCATGCAAATCGAATCTGTGATCTATATCCGTGTCCATGTTTCTTAGGTTATAACAGGATATACTCCTAACAGTTAACAGTGACAGTGCCAAGCGTGTAGCATATACCACCCAACAAACCCTTTCAAACTAGTTTGTTCAGCTAAAGCATATATATTAGTCGATATGACCCACATACTAATTTCTAAACGCAGAAAGATGATAGCTTACGAGTGAAAAACAATATTTACATGAAAGTGTGTACTACAAATATAGTACCTCGAAACGGTTCCAAAAATAGAGGATAAGGTGCTGCATAAATGCTGCAGTCGTCGAGAGAGCTAAATAAGAAAAACCTACAAAAGAGAAAATTGAGCTTATGAAAGGAAGAGATAAACTATAGGAGGCAACCTTTTGAACTAAAAATAACTTGGCACATCATTACCCTGAGTATACGAAAAGAAATATATGTGAAACACCAGAAAGTAGAGAAGAAAGAAGCGGGGAAAGAACTTCATAGATATTGGAGTGCGAACACTGCAAACAAAACAAGCAAAATAGTATCAGAAAAGGAAATGCAAGAACGGGTACAAAGCAAGGCAATATTTCCATTATAGGACCGTGCTTATAATCTTGCTCTTCTATGAAGTCCCTGTTTTCTAGGTTTTTAAGAACCTTTCAGGGGCTTCCCAGTTATTTGCTTGACAAGAAACACATTTCAAATCTCGCAGCAGAAATAAATAGGAGACAGTGGTATTGGCTGGATTTTCCTGAGCTATTTATTACTTTGCTTACCATTTACTTTCCCTCAACATTTAAATCCATACAGCCTACAGGGGGGACGATGAAGGAATCCTACCAGGTAAGGTGAGTAGTATTGAGTGTCTAGCAGGGGAAAATCAACTTTTGCAGCACAACTTGAAAACACAGAATGAACTCTTACCACCCATTCATGGAATACTGAAAGGGATTTGCAAGAACATAAAATTATTTATATGACGCGTTTAGCTCACATAAACTGAAAAAGAAAAAGTAAAGAGTCTTATTCTATTGATTTTTCTTTTAGAAGGGCATTCGGATTTAGCCCCTATTTGACAACCATTATTTTGAAAAAACAAAGTTTTGAATGGTGATTTTTAGTAGAATGTGTGGTTAAAAAGTAGGAAAAAATTTTGGGTTTACGTACAGAATATTTTATTGTGTGAATGTGTTTGAAAATGAGCATGTAGAAAAAATAGTTTTTAAATAATGGTTGTCAAACAAGGGCTTAATATCATTCTGAATTTAGACTTTATCAATCTTTGATTTCTTTAAACTTTATGCTATGTGATTCAGATCAAATTTTAATTTCTTTAAGGTTTGATCAGAAATAACATGTAAATCTCCCCAGGCTAATAATGTATATTTTTGCTCAAGAGAGAAAATGGTGGTTCTCAAAATATACTGCAACCCCCATCCAAAGAAAGAGCTCCATCGTATATATCTTAATAATTATGGTGGAAACTACATCAATTTCTGTATTTTTTATAATCTCTTCAAAGTTAATATTTAACTTTAAGATTTATTTTTGTATGTGTACGCGTTTATTTCCAGTAGGGTGTGAGTGGGGAGACCAACCTGATGAGTGTGAACAACTCGCAGAGCCAGACAAGAATTAAAACCATGAAAGCCAATAACTGGTCATCATAAAACTCGAAGAGGAAAAACAGGATGCCAATCATAATCTGGAGACACAGCAGTCAATTAATATCAGAAAAGGCCATAAAAATTACAGAAAAATAGAAGAGCAGCATAGATGATCTCAGGAAGGGGAAAAAATGAAAGAAGCTGCATTCTAACCGGTACAAATACAAGGGACTCGATTACATGCACAAAGATCAATTGAAATGTTGGAAGCCTATGTCGAGCATGATGCTGGAGCTGCACTGCAAAAAATTGAGACACAGAAATGCCAATCAAGACGAGATAAATAAGTCTAGAATCCCAATGAATCACCTAAAAATCAAAAGACAAATTAACACATTGAGAGACTCCAAAATTACCAATAGTAAATTTTTCTTAAGCCCACTTGCAACAACATAATTTTTGTGGTGAAATCCTACCATGACATTCTGTTTTGTGTATGGATGGGTAGGTTTAATGTTTATTTGTGGGGAGGGGGTATGATATTCAAGTTGGTTGAGCTTTAGTGTCCTCAGGTAAGATGTGACGAGTGTATCAATCACGTGGCCTGCTAGTAAAACATCAGTAATTTAACATCTGTTGACATTTCTAGGTGCTTTCAGATAATCTCCATCTGCAAAGTTCAGGTCACAGGATTTAAATAATCAATCCATGGTGCGGAAGCGTTTAGAAATTCTTGTAATAAGAATTGAAAATAAGAATTATATTGGAATAATCTTGCTTTGTATTGATATATGATTGATTGATTAAAAAGCGTACAATACCCCTATATTTATAGGTCAA